GCCCTCGGTGAGGTTAGTTCATAATGGAGGTGTGTGTGTGAGAGCATCGCGATCCGACCAGGGGTGGATTTGGGTTTTGGAGCTGCAACGAAGTGAGGTACAAGGTGCTCCAAATGCTTTGGCGTGGGGGAGGAGTTGTCTCCGAGTGCCGCCGCCTACAGGCCGCAGCGACCGAAGGATTGCGTCTTTCTCGGTGGCTTTATTCGAAGCGGAGGTCATAAGTAGACGGAATCGCCATGGCCGAAGAGGGATAAGCCTTGGCAGGGCGAAAAGTCTGCAGAAGATATGATAACGGATGGGCGCACACGTCAAAAGTAACCGTAACAAGTGGTGATGCTGCCATGGTTGTGTTGGAGGCCAAGCTCAGCTCTGACGTCTGATGTGCGTGAGATATGGCTTGGTAGCGAACGATCACACCGGCTATTAGGTGATATCTCTCAATTGAGACTGCGCATACTGACGCTCTTTGGGATTCTTGATGACGACTCGGGAGGACAGATGGCACAACGAGAGTGAGGTCTGCGGTGTGCCCAAAACGGACCGGTACAGTAACAGGGGTTGTAGGTCGTGAAGCGTCAGCTATTCCCACCTTGGGCAAAAGACTGACAGTTATCGTTCGCGTGCCAATACCTTTACCTAAGGTAAATAACTCCCCCGCCTACCTTCTTTTTCGAGGCGCCTTGTCTAACATACCTTATGTACTCACGTACTCAAAGACAAACACGTCACATGTGTTGAACCGCGATGTCCCCATTGTGCAGCTGGGTTCATCCACCCAACTCAGCGTCGGTAATCACACGTAAGATATCAATGCTTGCGGTTGAATCTCAAGGTCAGGGATTTTTCTTTCAGGCCACAGCTGCCTCTTCTGGTTCCTGTTGTATTCGACTTGCCTCGCATTTACCTAATATTCTGTACTGGATGCATTCGGTCAGTCACTTCGTGCTTGGGGCCATTACCTAGATGGACTGGGCATTCTGTTTTACGAAACTGCCAAACGTGCTGAGAGCTGGTCAGCTTCGCGTAGAATCCCGGCATTCTTCTTTCGTGTGAAAAAGACTCCAAGCCGCTTGCTTGCCACCATGACCTCGTGACTGGCGTCACGGGCTGGCGATATCGTCCAGGGTTCGAAATGGGCAGATGCCATTGCTTGATTCAATGCGCCTCAACGTTTTCCTTCGGCTGGACATTTCCCATATTCCTGACGAAATGCTGCGAGATAACGATTAGTCAGACCCGTCCGTTCGGTGTTTCCATATCCCTCCTGCTAATCGTTGATCCAACAAAGCCATCAGCAGCCCTGCCCAGGAACAGAACAGTCACCTTCCCCGTCAAGCAAAAGTAAAGGCAATGCGAGCTCTTCCAGCCAGTGATTGAGTTGACCATTGAACGGAGCTGCAGCTTCGCTTCTCTTTCTCATGTCACCTTCATGTCGTCGAGAGCCGCAACAGCAGCCGATGCCTTGTCGCCATCTGTGCTCACGCCATGGCAAAAGCCGAGTGTCGGAGCAGGTGACAAAACCAAGCGCGCTGCCGCTGTCATTCAGAACCTCGATAAAGTCCTCGAACATGGTCACACTGATATCAGTGATGCGACCGTCGCCAGATACGACTTTGTAGTCCACGGCGTTGTCGCTTGACAACCTCTGAAGCCATGTATGATAGCATCTGTCGTCCGGGAAGAGCCGGCCATCGACGTTTACGCCAGCATGGCCTAAAAGACCGCTGGTAGTCTTAAATCATACTCCTCAAGCTGAGCCATGACGCTGCTCTATGTGGCCATGGGCCCGTTTTGTTCTTTTGCGCGACGACCTGGTCAATCATGTCAGTGACTGTGTACAGCCTCCAGGGCGTGCCTAAACTGACCAGGCGCGACGTTTCCCAGTCACATCAGTTGTGCAACGTCGTGGTGCGTAGCGTTGCTCGTGAAGTGCCCGTGCCCTGAGCACACAGCACTGTCTCACTCAAGTCCACAGCCCTGTGAACCTTGCTCGAAGCCGACCCTTTCGCAACACTCGACGTCACTCCATTCAGCAAATCTGCACAATACTTTGGTCGGAAGCGTTGGTGCCCGACCAGGTTGAGACACTTTTGGGGCATCCGGTGTCATCTGGGGACGATCAAGATGCTCTCAAGCCGTGCGCTCAGGGGAGCATTGGGACTCGAGGAATTCAAGTTGATCTAGCGTATGATGTTGCGCATAGGATCTGCAATCTTCAGACGTCGTGTTTGGATCCCACATTTGCAGCCTTGGAGCCTGGCAGAGTCGTATTCAGAGCCAGCGCATGCGCCACAAGGCTCGATCACGCCGCCACGCGCCGTGGTAGTGCATGTGTGTGGAAATCATCTTCAAAGCCAGCACGACATTTGCCGTGGAAAGGGAGCAGCCCTGGTCGTCGTTCTGGAAGGTCGACGACGCAATTTTGGTCTCATTTGCTGACGGTGAATGGGTTTGCTGCGAGATGGAGTTGCCATGGGCATCGAAGTGAGTTGGCAGCGTCGTTCATACAAGGGAGACGGTTCAAAGAAAACCAAGGGACAACATTGCGCACCCTGCGTGCCAGCGAATAAGGATACCTGTTTGCGGGGGCGGCTTGCTATTAATGCTTGTTGATCATCATCATAAGGGTAGATCCAGATGGGAACGGTTCTAACAACATCGCAGACAGACAACTTGGGCGCTTGTAACATCCGAGTACTTCTACTACGCCCCAAACCCATTCAATGTCACGGACGAATCCTCAATTCAGACGACCTGCTGGTCCCAAAGCCGCACCGTTCTGCAGGGTCATGCACAGTACTCCCTCCCGCCCATACCGCCGACCTTGACCTCGATCTCGACCCCGGATTCAATTCAACTCGGACCTCGGTCGTGTCCCCATGAGACTGTACTATCGACCCTTCCGCGGCGAATAGTGTAGAGCGCGCAAAACGTCAAGAGGCTGGTCTCAGTTCCTCCCCCTGCTTGCCGTATATGCTGGACCAACCTGCCCGGCTATGGGCGCCCGATCTGGTCATTTGCCTGACGCCCAGACGGGGCTGAGTGCTGTGTCGAGGCGAAATTCGTCAAGGTTGGCAGACGCGGCAGATATCCTGCGCTTCCGATTTGTTTCGCGAGTCATGGCAGTGCAACCTTATGCTTGAAGATACAATCGACCCAAGCCTGGGATGCTTCAGGTTGACGAATTGAGTATCGGTCTGTCCGCCATCAGCAGCCATTTTTTCGATTAGCGTGACTCAAGGCTGTCGCATCGCTCATCTGCACTGCGTTCGTCGGGTGCGTGGCAGCATGGTTCCCATGAATGTGACCACTGCGGCAGGCAATCAAGCCCTGTAGGGCCTGCAAGGGGTAAACAGGAAAGGATGCGTGAATACTTGTACGTGAGATAGGGCACTTGTGCTGTGTCGAAGAAAACCTCCGAGTCTCGAACGTTTTTGGTCGTCGCAGGAGGGAGGAGACAGCAAATGATTCCCACATACACGACGAGCCGGGAAGTAGGACAATGGCTACGGATCCCAAGGATTTGGCAGTCCTCGTAAATGCTTCGATCTGGAGTGTAGGTCACCCTTGGTCCATGACTTCCCCTCCCCACTATCTGTAGATTGACCGGCTAACCAAAGGCGCTTTCTACAGTTGTTCACCCTCGCAACGATCGCTCTCGCCTTGAGGTTGTATAGCAGAATCCGCGTAGTCCGCTTGGGCGTTCAGCAAGATGATTGGGTCCTCATCGCCGGATGGACAGTTGTTTTGGTGGCGTCTGGGGTCATGTCGGGGCTCATGGCCATCTTCTTGCATTCAGGAAGCCTCCAGAAGATCACGCTCGCCCGCATCCACCACAACCTCCAGAGCATCGCCCTCGGACTGACCAAGACGTCGTTCGGCCTGACGCTGCTGCGACTGATGCCCGGTGGCTGGGAGGCGAAGCTGATCTACGTCGTGCTGATCACCATGAACTTTCAGTTCGCGGTGCACATCATTGCGGTCTGGCAGATGATATGCGGTGCGCCGGATGAAGGGCACATTGGAGGAGACAAATGCTGGACCTTGACGCAATCGGTTACTTTTGCAGTCTTCAGTGCTGGTTTGTCCACCCGTTTACCCGCCCTAGACGATGCGATCTGTTCTGGCGAATCTGACATAGCCCTACCGCAGTGTATTCGGCATTGTGCGACTTTATACTGGCCCTGTTGCCCTGGCGGATGATATTCAACCTGCAGATGAAGCGATCCGAAAGACTAGGTATTGCTTTAGCGCTGAGCATGGGCGTCATCGCAGGCATCACTGGTGTGATGAAGGCGTACTACGGCTCCAAATTGCTTCAAGTGAGGCATCCCAACTGTACGTGGCCTCTTCCTTGACACTCCAACTTGCCCGCTAACATCGACTACCAGATGCCTACAACCAGGCCGTCTACTGGATCTGGTCAATGGCCGAGCCTAACGTCACGATCATTTCTGCCTCTATACCGGTTCTCCGTGGATTCGTCCGCAGCGCCCGCGTCCGAACCGAGTCGAACAACAACGGTGGTGGCTATGTCAAGACGGGAGACAGCAGTAACAAGTTTTACAACTCGGTCACGGTCACGGCAGGCCGCGCCGAGGCCAAGGGTGACGACGGCGACAGCGATCGGAGCATTCTGGGGCATGGACCCCAGGGTAGGGACATGAATGGGATCGCCTGGACGACAACGGTCAGCGTTGAGTATGAGAACCAGTCGCGCGAGGATGATGTCAAGGGCATCGCCATTTCGAAGGATACAGCAACAGAAGAAGGAATCGAAATGGAAGCAGTGACACCACGCCCAGGCCCGACGGATGACCCAAGAAGATAGTTTCTCAGCAATACAATAGATCAGTTCCGGGGGCTGAATGATGACCCAGATGCGTCCGTGGCCACGTTCGTTCTGCTCCGAGTCACTCTGTACAAGAAAGTACAGGCTGGATGACGATCGACCTCGTTATAATAGGAGCTCTGGGGGCCGCATGCCGTGGCTTTAGGCAAGGATCAAACGACGAGGAGATGCTGTTGGTGGGGAAATCATGGCCAGAGATCCCGCCTAAATAAGAACAAGTCGGTCGTCTTGCCTGTCCTGTCCACTCCATCAGGCAAAGCTCTTGAGCGCGTGGCTTGCAACTGAGCCTCTATCCAGACATGGTCTGAAGTACCATTTCAATTTCGAACAAGCAAGTGGCATATCAGCCGAGAAACCTGTGCAGTGGCTTGCAGCCGGGGCAAGTCGACCTGCCTCCCCACCGTTGCATCGATCGTGATTTTCTGATCCCAACGTGGCACCATCTCGTCTGATGATTGAGCCGGCAAGATAGAACCCGGACGTCTTGGTCCACGCAACCGAGCAAGCCACCCCCAAACGGCACAGCATGAGAGTGCTGCTCAGTCCAGGAACGACACGAGGCCTGCCCCCCCCCCCCCCCCCCCCCCACCTCCTTGCCATTCTTCCGGCTCAGGACCCGGAAACGCGTTTGGAGTCGTCCCGGATTTCCGTTCTTTTCAACTTTACCCGCACCTCCGCGGCACTGATCATGTCAGGGGTGGTCCAGTCCCTAGCCAGAGAGATATCATGTGCCAAGAACACCTCAAGCGAGAGAGCAGGGCAGCAAGCCATAGGCAGAAACCTGTACCCCTATACGCCTCCTCTCTCTCGCTTCTGCGGTGATGCAAGCCTCAGCGCACCCCAATGCCAATGCACATCTCAGCTGGCAACGGCAAATCACACGTGGGCTGTCGGGCGTTTTGTCAATGCTGGAGTCTTTCCCCCGTCTCGGCCAGTTTGTTGCAATCGCGTCAGGGGGGTCAACGTTGCCATCATTTCTGACTGCGCGCAAAAAAATCTGAGTATGGACACCTACTTGTTCCTGGCCAAGATGACGAGATCCCCAACGAGAGACAGAAACCCTAACTGAACTCTCTCTCTCTCTCATTCAAAACCAAACCGAGCTGATGTCAGCTGTAGAATGATACTCACCCAGAAAACACCCCGGAGAAAGACTACCCGCGCAACGAGCCGGGATGATCAAGGTACTGTAGATGCTAGAGCTGGGAGACGCTAATCAGGGCGAAAGCACGCCTTCAGTCCAGCTCTCTGGTACCGACGCGCCATTTCAATCTTTTCCTTGCAGGTCTCGGTCTTGGCCAGTCCGCAGCTTTTGAGTTTTTGCCCAAAACGAGTGGGGAGGGGGAGGGGATGCCCTGAAGGAGCCAAGCGTCATCTGTCACTCTGTGACGCCTGGGAAGCACATTCTTTGGGCTAGTCTGGGAGTTTTTCGCTACAATCAACATCAAACGGCAGCCGGTTCTTCTGGCATCACGCCAAGGTACTCCGCGTTTCTCTTACGGGGAGGATTCATCATGGGGTACGCCAGCAATAGCTCGTGATAGTACCCTCACTATCGAACGGCCATTGTAGCACCGCGATCATCGGGAGGATGCGACACCTATCCACTAGGGCAAGAAGGCAAGCACATAGGCAGGCTGGCGTATAGGCATGCTTCGTGTGACTCGTCGGGCCCGAAAGGATGCGTATGGGAAGAAGGGAGGGACTCATCGATCGACAGCCGGCTTATCCAGCGCTGCCAGCGCATTGAAGGGACGACGCTGGCCGCTTTCAGCCCAATGAGTGGTGCACCCTTGCGATGACTTCATCCTGTCCTGCGACTCGGGCCGGGCTGAGTGAGGCACGATAATACGTGTCGTGCGACGAAGCGCACGCGCCATTGTGGGAACGCTGTTCTTCCTGACCTCTCGGCCGGTCGAAAGATCTACCTCCGAGCTCATTGGAAACAACAGGCAAGTCCCGAACAGCGCGTGTCCCGTCAGCAAGGCACATCCGAGCTTGGCGATAATAAAATGCTTAGCAGCATGAATCGCCAGAAGGCCGCCCCCGCTTCCCACAGGACCTTGCTTGATTGCCAGCTCGAAGGGTCCATTCACTTCCCCCTTTGGACCGGGCACTCGACTTGGCACGAGAATTGGCCTGCGACCGGGATCCAGGTTTTGGGCGCAATCCCAGAATTGGCCGGCGGCTGGGCGTGAACCGTCCTCTTGCCAGGTCGGGGGTTTCCGAACAAGGAAGAATGAAGGTTAGATGAAATCATGGCCTCTCCACAACCCCGTAATTCAATCCATGTTCGGGAGGCAGATCTTGGGGTCGACTGAGTCCTGCGGGGCGACGACGTGGGGGGGGGAGAGAGCTGATCCTCTAGTGCTGTTTATTTCAGTGGTTGTCGCCCGTAGTCAAACCACCCCCCCAGGGGCAGACACTTGACCTGCAGGACGGACGAGTTGACGATATTGAAGGATGTCTCGTGAGGCGCCTCAACCCCTCCACCCCGCGCGCACCAGTGGTTGGGCTCGTGGTCATTTGAGTGAATGACCAGGTGGATGGACAAATGCCCCTTGCGTCTCGCTTCCGTGGGCATGGCCCTGCGTGGGGAGGGGGCGTGGGTGGTGAGATCGTGACTTTTTGACTGATCTGGAGTTTGCTCGATGCCCGGGACGGCTCGTGATGATGTTGCCCTGTGATGGGCGAGGTGTAGGTCTAGCCGTGGCGTGCTGCGGCGCGCTCCTTTCCTTTCCTCCCCAAATCCACCATGGCGTAACATGTACTGTCTCTGGGGTGTGTTCATGGGATCGACTCACATGATATTGCGACTTAATTTGCCCCGATGTACCTCTCTCGACCGGTACATGGGAGATGGGGAGATGGATGGGGGTAGCAATAGGTGTGGCAGCCACCCCCACACATATCGCACTTAATAAAAAAAAAGCGGATGGATTTCAGGTAAAAACACCAATGAAGCAAGGCAGACACGGAGTTTTGACTCGAGGTTCGACTCATCATATACCGTGACGTTCCCACCCAGTCGGCCAGTGACAGTGACGGGGTGGACAGTATGACGTTTCCTACGAGCCCGCTAAAATTGTGCATGGCATGCCCTGGCCCAACTGATCTGCTGGCCTTCTGGGGGAGGGAGGCTCCTAGATTCCTATTCCTGGAGTACATGTAAAGGGGTGGAGGTCGGAGAGGCATACTTCTTTCTTATCTGGGGGCAAGGTCTAAATGTCCACGATCCAGACGCAGATGCTTATCAGGTAGGCAGTGTGCCATTCCAAGTAGACACAATGCCGAAAGACGGGCCAAAGGCCGCTGTCACTGCTCAAGCCCGTTTTTGTCTCAGGCAGCCCGCCCCCTCCATGCCCCCCAGAGACGGTGTCTCAAGGAGCACAGTCCGGT